ATATATATATATATATATAATAATCGTAACAACTTTTGCAATATCAGGTTAATCTTCAGCAGCTTCTTAATAAACTACAGCTGCCCCAAATGAAGCCTAAGAATCTAAATACTTGCTTATAGTAAAACAAACACAGATAGAAGCATATAAGACCTCAAAGGGCAGATATAAACAAATTTGAACGACAAAGGCCCAAGATTAGGCACAAATTACAACCAGAAGCTCAGAGCATAACTATAGAAGTAAAAACTGATCTTTATATAAATATCTTATTTCAATTGGCATCCATGAGAAGTAACATCAAAATGCCTCTGCGAAAGTTCAAAATATTAAAGGGGGCATTTACATTCATATCACACAATTCCTAATTTACATATCTAACATCCAATCTTTAACTTCTATATTTACAACACTCAAATTTTTTACATCACATGAAAAAAACCACTATTTACCAACTTTTAAAAGTGAAAATATATCATATGCTACAAATGTAAAAAAATCAAAGTTTACGTGCTAGATATGTAAATGAAGAGGAGACATTCAGTATGTATGAAAATCTTACAATAAGAGTAAAAATCTTCTGCTAGATTGGAGACAATAATTAGAGTTCCTCAGAGATCTGAAAACCATAGTAAACACCAGAAATCTTCTGAAAGAGTTACTTCAGCAAAGAAAATTATGTTAATAACACAAACTACCAGGAAAATGTGTTCAAAACATGTGATTAGTGACAGATTCTGCAGGTAGAAGACGCTGTAAGATAGTCTCAGGGCTGCACAGCCTCCAAAAGCTTCTCATATACTTGTCTTGCGGTTAAATCTTCAACCTGTGAAATATTCCATAACTCATTAATTTAATCAGGCATCATCAGTAGGTTAATTAAGTACTTGCCTAGTTAGGTTAATTATATGCAAATAAAATTAAGTTAAAATTATTTATAATTTTAAGCCAAATTTTTATGGAACACTTTAAGAACTACTAGGAATTACACTAACGCAGGTTACCTCATATTATGTGAAGTTTATTGGGGAAATGAACAACTTGATTGATGAAAGGATTGGTAAGTAATAGAAACTATTATGGAACAATATCATCTGTTTCTGTTGACGCACGAAATCTAAAGCATGATTGGCAGAATCGTTAGAAAATAAAGCTTAGTTCTAACGAGATATTATAGAATGAATTGGCAGAGGTTAAAGATGCTGTGAAATATATCATTAGTTTACATAATTAGACTATTAAATAAAAGGATTGTGGGTTGATTTATTATCATTAGATCATTTCTGAAGGTGTAAAGTAATTAGAATTAATGGAGAACTAGTTCTTGAACAAATTCATTAAATGACTTCACAATTTTGTATGCGGCGGAAGAGACGGAGTCATATATGTTGTGCACCAGTTCTTCTTAAGTCCTGAGGAACTTGAGAATGAGCTGATTACTATGATTATTTCCTTAAAATAAAGTTTAATAACAAGTCTTTTAGGATTGTAAACTGAATAAATATGGAACCATGTTCTAATGTAGCACTTTGCGATCTAGTGGGCTCCTTGATAAGAGTATAGAAATTGTCTCGAGTTAAAATAGGTTCAATATTGACACTCCTCCCGAAAGGTTGTTGGCGTCACGATAAGAGTATTACTATCTCATGAAATAGAGAGTTACATGATATCAGACAAAAAGAGTTGGCAATGAGATTGATCTCAAAGAAGACAGAGAAGAGCATTAAACAGAGAAATCAATGGAGGGCTTCAATGAAGATACCAAAGTAGCGTCAATAAATAGTATAGATGGAGAACACTCACGAAGTAACTGTTGGTCTCCATTTTTTGTGATAATCATCAACGATGGTTGGGCCATAATAGCATCATGCAAGGTCCTAGAAGAGAATTGTGTAATAGATGGAAAGAAGGATCTCATGGAGAAAGAAACTAATAGAATGAATGGGCCACAATTAGAGAAACGTGTGCGAGGGGGGCCAATAGAGATCAAAAGTTCGACGAGATCGGCATTGATGAGATTTCTAGAAAAGATCAAGATGATTATAAGCCATGTCTCTAATATCGCATTAGAATGGAAAGATTTGGAAATGATTATATATTTACCCAATTTTCTTTATAACATAAACATATGTGATTAGATAAAATATAAAAAAGTAAAAAATATATAATAATGACAAATAGTGTAGTTTCCTATTATAAATAATCATCCCATAAGATACAATAGCACAGAACTTTAAAGTTTTTTTTAGGTCAAATTTTAATTTGCCTCTCTTAGCATTTCACCAACAGATCTTAAAAGAATACTAATTTTTCATACAAACATCTTATCCAAAGGCAAATAGTTTTTTATCATTTTCTTTATACACCTATAACGGACAACCAATCAAACTTATAATCACCATGCATTCTTGGCACAATATATATATCGCCTTCTATATAAAAACAAGTCTGTTTGTAATTTGGTGGCCCCAATTTCAGAAGCACTTAATTATTATTGTCGCTTAATAAAGTATACATTCATAATTCTAAAATCATAGGCCATTATGAAATTAAGTATAGCTTCTCCAATTACATTTCATTGTTCTATTATAATCTGATCTTGAAACTTTCGTTGCTTATCATACTAAAATTCTAAAAACCAGTTTGTCCAGTTAAATCGCACTCAATACATCAATTTTTTTTTATTTGGTTACTCGAGTATTAAAAATAGCTGATACAATTCTTGAATCCATCATTAAAATACTCATTTTTTTTTTTTAATTCTTTAAACCGGCATTTGCAGTCCTGCGATATTACAACAAAAGTGTTAGATATTTCTTCTTTAAAATACTGTAGAGATTGTAATCTTATTTCCACTTAACCCACCAACCTTTTTCAAAGCCAGTGCAGTAGAAATTTAGTTCCTAAATCATTCCTCACACAAAAATAACGTAGATAAATAATTATGCTTTCTATTCTTAAACTGCACTAAGCTTCTGTGCTACGAAACCAGAATAGTTAACCGGAGAGCTGAATTATCAAAGAAAAGGCAAAAATGAAAGACCATAGGAATAACAAAAAATCAAATTTGCCAAGAAGTTCCAGTTAACTCACCACAAGCAACTTTGATTTATTGTTCCATCCTCTCTGGAGGGTCATTTGGCTTAGGCGCAACCCTAAAACCTGATTCAGAAACAGCACAAGAATAATATCATTTACTAGTAATACTGCAATAAAGAATAAGCAGACGAGAAATATAATCAATAGATGAACAAACAAATAGTATGTTGATGCCTTCGATACCTTGCCCATAAATTCCAACAACTCATTGTTAGCTTCACCATGGGCAGCGGGTGCAGCTACAGTCACTCGAACATCATCTGCATTTACTCCTGATGAAAAATAGGACTTGTGAGAATATTTAGTTGTACCATATGGTCAGCCCTCCAGCTAATTGTCACCAAATGAGATTTTAAGAATGTTCAATTACATGGCAACTAAAAATCTATAATGTTATCATTTTTTATGAAATTTACTTCCCAAAATGAATTACCGAAATGATATTCACTAATCTTTCTTCTTTATATGTATGACAGGATGCTCAGAAAAATATGCTGATAAAGCTTTAAATTTGGCAATAATAAAAAAAAGAAAATATCAAATCACTTGTTTTAAGGAAAAATACAGATACTCAAAAGAATCTCATCCCCACCATACAACAACAACAACAAACATTTATCCCACTAAGTGGGGCCGGCAACATGAATCATTTTTCTCCATTGCTTCCCATTGAGTGTCATATTTTCATTTAATTTTAATAAATTAAGATAATTTTTTAGACAATTTGCCCAAGTCTTTCAAGGTCTACCGCTGTCTTTCTTAACATAAATTAAATCTAAGACATCTACTCTCCTAATCGGATCATTAGATGGTCGACGTTTAATATGACCAAATCATCTAAGTTGACTCTCTCTAATTTTGTCCGCCATTAGAGCTACACCAACCCTATCATGGATATATTTGTTTCGCATTTTGTCTCAAAAGTATTCTAAGTGTAAAGCTACTCATCCACCTAAGCACTCTCACCTTGGCAAAACTTAGTTTTATGCTTCTCTTTTAAAGGCCAACATTCAGTGCCATAGAGCATTGCAAGTTGCACCACCATCTTATAAAATTTTCTTTTCAGTCTAAGCGATACTTTTCTATCACACAATAGGCCCAAAGCATTCCTCCACTTCAACCAACCAACTTGAATTCTACTAATAACATCCCATCTATATCACCGTCACTTTGAACAATAGACCCGAGAATCTAATGTGTTCGCACCTTTTAATAATTTGATCACCCATAGTTATAACTCTGTCGCCAGAGCTACTACTACTAAAATTACATTCCATGTACTCAGTTTTAGTTCTACTCAAACGAAGGCCTTTAAATTCCAATGTAGACCTCCATAATTCAAGTTTTTCAGGAACTTTCTCTCTAGTCTTATCCACGAGAGGGATATAATCAGCAAAAAACATACATCAAGGTACATCCTCCTGTAAATGTCCAGTAAGAGCATCCATAACTAAAGCAAAAAAAGATATGGGCTTAAAATTGATCCATGATGTAATCCAACTGAAATAGGAAAATATTTGGTCAATCCTCTTGCTCGAACACAATTAACACAATTAACAACTCTAGTATACATATCTTTAACGACTTGAATATGACTTCAAGTCATATTAACACCTTTCTTCTCTAAAACTATCCAAAGGATATCTCTTGGAACCTTATCATAAGCTTTTTCTAAATCAATAAAAATCAAATGTAGATCCTCCATATTCTCTCTGAACTTCTCTATCAAACCTCTCAATAAATGTATAGCTTCCATAGTAGACCTGCTTGGCATTAATCCAAATTGATTATGAGAAATCTTTGTAATACGTCTTAACCTATGTTCAATTACCCTCTCCCATAATTTTAAAGTATGACACATCAACTTAATTCAACTATAGTTTGCACACTCTTGTGCATCCCCTTCATTCTTAAAAATGGGGACCAAAATACTCTTACTCCACTCCTCAAGCGTCTTTTTAATTTTTAAAATAATATTGAAGAGTTTAGTAAGCTAAGAAACTCTCAAATTTCCTATATATTTCCACACTTCAATTGGGATATTATCACGTCCTATAGACTTTCCACCCTTAATTTTCTTTAAAATCTCCTCAACTTCTTTTTTAATAACGCGACTGTAGAAATGAAACATTTTATTATTATTAACGATATTAAGATTAATAAAGCCGATCGTATTTTCAGAAACCTCATTAAAAAGTTTATTAATAAAGCCGATCGTATTTTCAGAAACCTCGTTAAAAAGTTTATCAAAATAACTCAACCAACTATATTAAATATCTTTTTCTAAAAAAAAAAACATTTTTTGATTTTCATCTTTAATAAACTTGAGTCATATCTTTACTTTTATTTTCTCTTTGTTTGGCTAGTTTAAACAAATATTTTCACTATCTTTATTATCTAATCTATTATAAAGATCACTAAAATTAGATTAAAGTCACAAATTGTCCTCATAGACTCCCTACGGGCCATTTTATATTTTTCCAAGTTTTCTAAGCTTTTATACTAAAATCAATTTTAATAACATAGCTTCTTATATTTTATTTTTTCTTAAACATTATTATTCCACCACAAACTATTTTTATTTATAAAAACTATTTCTTTTGATTCCCCAAGTGCAACTTTTGTCATTTGTTTAATAGCATTTGTTACTTTATCCTACATAAAATTTGTTTCTTCATAAACATCCCAAATGTTGAAATTTTGATGTTTACTCATAAATATAATTTTATTTGTCTTTTAGATGTTTCCATCTAATTCTATGACAATGATTCATAGTATTATTTATTTTAGAACTCTTAATCTTAAAATCTAGAACTAATAATCGATATTGAGTACTTAAATTCTCACTTGGAATGACCTTACAATATTTACATTCTCGACAATCTCTTCTTCTCATAAGAAAATAATCAATTTGTGTTTTATTAGATCCATTCTTATAATTAATAATATGCTCATCTATTATCTTAAATAAAGTATTAGCAATAACAAAATCGCATGCTAAAAAATATATATAATATGGCTCTACCTTCTTTATTAATCACTCCAAACCATATCTACCAAGAATATTTCTAAAATCTCTACCACTCTACCGACATGTCCATCTAAATCTCCTCCAATAAAAATTCTTTCTTCAAGAGGTATCATTTGTATTAAATCTCCACCATGAATAGATAAAATAGAGTTAATATTAGAAGTAAAAATCTGGCATATCCAGGTAAAAAATGTCCGTTGTTTATGTTAATAATGAAGTCAGAATCTCACGAAGAAGCTTCCAACAAAAATTAAGCATTCAACCAACTTGTTATGAAGCAGAGAAAACATGATGACAAAGGGAAGAATAAAAAGTAAGACAGCTTATTCAGGAATTTACTTGACCATATCACCCTGCATTGCATGGTGCCAATAAAGCATATATATTTGAGCATTATAAAAATAAAATTTTGCGTATTGGGAAACTTTTTACATTAGACTAGACATGTACTCTTTTTGCTGCATCGTCACCAGGCTTCCATGAAGCAGATGATCTTCAGAGAAGATGAATCTTTTTTCTTGCTTATTCAACAAGCGTGTCTATAAATAACGCAATAGGTTGAGTCATTTAAATGCAAATCATAAGCTAGAATAAAACAGTCTCATTATTTAAAGAAGGGGCATTTACATACATACCACCCAATTCCTATGTATTTCCACATCTACTACCAAAACTTTACTTTTTAAATTTTTATCATCCAAATCGTTCATGTCCAATAAAAAATACCACCATTTTAACTTTTAAAATGTGAAATACACCTTTTCGTGCATAAGTAAGATGGCATGCATGTAAAAATTGAGATTTAGGCATTAGATGCGTAAATACATAGGAATTGTGTGGTATGTATGTAATTTTTATGTTAAAGAAACATATGCCGTTCAATCAAAAGCTACATCTTCCTTTAAAGAAACATATGCCGTTCAATCAAAAGCTACATAACATTAAAAAAGAAAACATATCTAAAAGGTATAAATACATCCATACACCAGATATTCAACTGAGTTAAGCATTTATATTATACAATATTTAAAACAGCAATTAATCAGACTAAAATATTCTTTCTGTACAGAAATATCACTTTAAATAGCATAATGAAGCTTACTTGTAATGGCAGAACGCTGTGCACGATCTTCTACTTCAATTGCAACTTGAACGAGACCACCTTCCAACTGTGATATGCAAGGAGGAACGGGAGCATCCTGTAGCGTGGTTGACAAACTTTAAAATGTTCATAGTGAGGTATATTACTGTTATCTTTTTTTTATCATTATTTAAAAATTATGTTGGCGGTTCAATTGTGATATTTTGAATTGCTTAAACTCCGGACATACTAACTTAGAAAACTATCAGTAAAGAAAATGTTTTCCTAGAAGAGAGGATTATGTATATAATTTGTCATGCATGATATAATGGGTTTTGAATTATGAAGTTTTTATAATTTTTTTTCTTTCGTTTATTGTGAGAGTGACTGTAACACGCAAAATTTGAGAAGCTAGATAAAATTTTAGAGATTTAAAAATATGCCCCAAATTTCTCATTTCTCAAATTTCAACCGAATTAATTTCATAAAATTCTACGTATCAAATCGATCAAGTCAAATTGACCAATTCGATATATGATACTATATATAAATTTTGAATAGAAAGGGAGACAAAATTTTGAAGTTATAAATTCAATTAACCGTAGTTAATCCCTTAATTAAATCTTCAATCCCGCACCCTTACTGAAGCCGCCTCCGTTCCTACGTGATTATCAATCGTAGGATGGATTGGATGGCTGAGATCCAAGGGTATCACCTTATATGTCGAACCACCCTTCATTTCCTCCTACACTTCGAACTCGTGAGTCCTGCAATTGCGAGATTTTAGTAAACACATCCACGCGACCAAAGTTGCACAATCCACGGGGAGCTGCAAGCAATGATCAGAGGCTCCGACACGAAATCGATGAGTAAGAAACCCTCTTCCACGATATTTGTGACATTCTTTTCCTTCCTTACATTTCCATTCTAACATATGCCACAAATCGGTGCACTTTTTTTGTTTCCGGTAACTGTAGTGGAGGGGAACTTGTGTCAGAGACTACGAAATTGGTTTGTGGGCTTCCGTAAGGGCCATTAGCTAGAAATCAACAAAGAAAATGGAGGATTAAAGTAATAGGAGGAAGAGGGAAGAAGAATAAGCAGTCTCGGACAAGTGTCAGTTATACAAGGAAGCCTGTTTGAAGTAAGAATTCATAAATGAATTATGTTTATGATTAAATCATGAGACAAGCCTTTGATACTATTACATTTAGAATTTTCTGCATATTATGAATGCTTGTATACTCTGTATGAATGAGCACTTGATTCTCCCTTACGATACATGATTTTACTATGTTATGAATATGATGAATATGCTTACGAAATTATTGATTGCAGGTATTGATTTGCTATGCATATGTTATATGAAATGTCGGTGATGAATGTTTATTCTAGGATTCATGCTTTAAAAAAATGTCATAGGTGAAGTTATAGGTAAGCTGGATACTTGCAAGTACGGGCGAAAAGGAATGATGGGATCCCCGACTTTTGATATTCAAACAATGAAAAAACTCTGAGAACCGTTGAGATCAAACAATGATGGAAAGTAGGGTAATGTTAGTACTAGAGGGGCTATTGATGATTGCTATGTTGGGAGGGCTCAACCTTTATCAATAGTTAATGTGACATTTAGGCTGGGTGACGACCCAATGACATGACATGTGAATAATTGAGACATATACAATTACAATTGACATTCATATGATTAGATTGATAACTCCTATGAATATGCTTATAATTACACATGAATGAAATGAAATATATGTTTTATACCGCAGTCATGATTCTCAGCATTTCATGTCTTTTCTTTTTGTGTTTGATTCGTGTATAATATGTTGAATCGTGTGTTGTGGACATGAATATGGATTATACACGAGAATGCACGATATTTTGTTCTTAAAATTTTATTTTAGTTTTGATTATTTTCTGAGTTTGTTATTGTTCACTCTACAATGATGATTTTCAAAAAGAGGAAAGGAGCATCGGGGCGAGTAAGGTGTGATTTCTACATCTTTTAAATTTCATAATTTTGGGAACTTATACAAAATTTTTTGGTACGTATTTTTAGTGTGTTGGATTTAACAACTGTGTGTGCATGTGTGTGTGTGTATATATATATATATATGCTTCGATGATATAATTTCCATACTTCCGATTATATACATATGAATGTATTATAAAATGAAATGTATCAAGTATGTTTGTGAGGATTTAGTTAGACTACTTTATAACTCACTAGGTCCTGATTCTATAAGTCAATAGTAGTGCTAGTGAGAATTTAATCGGATCTAATCGTCCACCGCTATCGCACCGCAGCTGACCCTTTGGGGGGGGTTGTGACAGTAATTATCCGTTACTATGGGCATCATTGGGCTAGTTGATGAGGTTAGGCTAAAAATCATTTGCAAGTTTGGACTACGCTTTTGTCGATTGATGGATCCATTGTGATCAAACTTCGCATTGTTGTCCCTTCATATTCTATTTCATATAAATCTTGTTTATCATTCACACCTTTTGCCCTAGTAAAATTGCCAAGTAATCCTAGTGTAATTAGTTATTTCAAAATAAAGAATTCCTGTTATAGAATAGAATCGTGTGGTATAAAAAAGGATAGAAAGTTCTCAATGTAATGCACAAAAATTCAAATCACTTCTTCTCGTTCACTCTAGAAGAGTTCTTTTAGTATGCATTCCTCTTGCATTTTAGGTAAGAAAGGAAGCCCAGGGTAGTGGTTAAGTTGGCTCAATTAGAGTCTTCAAACTATTCTCTCTACAAATGCAAGATAAGTCTGCACACATGGTTGGAAGCTTCGTGCACTAGATGCACCTTTTTATACATTTTAGGCATCTCTGATTAAGTTTGTTACATGATATCTCATCAAACTAAATTTTGAACATGGCATTGGGTTATATTCATGGTATTTCTATATTAAAAAAAAGAAAATCAAATGAATGCCAAAAACTGATTCCACTTCATAGGCTATTGTTCAGCTACACGTAACTATCAAAATAAATGTCAATAGCTGATACTAAACACAATAATAAGATAAGTTGAACACATCTCAAACGCAACGAAAAATGACCGATTGCACTCAAACTTGCAAAATGAATAGCATTGATTTATCCAAACTTCAAATTACCTAGAAAAAATCCCTACATCATTAAAATCATTGCATGAGAATATATTGAAATTTCATCTACACACAAAAAAAGAGTGAAAATTTGACATGTAAGAGTGATGGAAATTCATGAGGGTAAATGCACAGATGAAAAAGAGAGCATTATTTTATATATATATATATATATAATAAAATATTTTATCATAATTTCCATTACTTCGTTTGAGTCTGTCTAAGTACCTCTGTTTTGCAGCGTAGAATCAAATGGTTAGGCACATGAGGGTGGTTGGTGGCTCGTATCATAGCCTTCGGCCATTCTTTTTAACTATATATAACTACATAACTATATAACTATATAACTATATATATATATATATATATAACTGTATAACTATATATATATATATCGCCTATGGTGAATCCTTGGTTTCTCTGATTCACTGTGATTTCGTCTTTTCTCATCTTCGTCTTCGTCGCTTGTTCGCCGTCGTGCGCAGCGGCTCGTTCGTGATTCAGCGGCTCTCGCATGAAGGCGTCAAAATCGGGGGCAACATTTGAAGTTTGGGTGCGGGCTTCTTCTGCGGCTCATTCTTTCGTCATCCCGAGAAGCGCGGGATCCTTTCTGCAGCTCGCGGCTCGTTCTTCGTCATCCTGAGAAGCGCGGGCTTCTTCTGCGGCTCCTATCCTGGCTAGTAGGGCGCAAGCTTTCCTCTGGCTCGAACGAATCGCCGACTGCTCGACTTCCCTTTCGGCATTTGCTCTTATTCTACTGTCACTTTGCTGTCCCACAGCCTTGCCTCCCTCTTTTGGGATGGCTTCAGACAAATCGTATGTTGTTGCCCTTGCGGGTGTTCACACCTCAAATACACCTAAATCGCCATCTTTTCCTCATTCATTTGAGTGGGCGGAGGACATCAAAAAGCCTGGTAGGAAAAATGAAAAATCTGTCATCTTTTTACAGAAGACGATGGTATTCAACTTGTTTTCTCTTGTCGTCTGAATTTGGTTGAAAAATTTATATATGGTCATCCCAAAATGGAGCTCATTCGCAAAGAATTTGAACTTATGCACCTTGTTAGAGAGTGAAAAATTGGACTATTAGATAGGAGACACGTTCTTATTCAAATTAACAATGAAGAAGATTACATGCGCTTATTTGCTAGAAGGATAATCTGGATTGATAATAGAGCAACGAAGATTCTGAAATGGTCTGTGGATTTTGACCCATAGACGGAACCACCAATCATTCCGGTTTGGATTTGTCTCTCTAGTCTGAAACTTTATTATTTTTCTCAAAAAGTATTGTATTATATTGCCTCAACTTATGGAAAGTCACTCAAGACGGGCATTCCT